GATATTTCTCTGCTATGTTTTTCTAAGTAACAGTTGAGTAAATCTCTCTACTCTTATTTTCCAACGTTAAAGGGCATAAATACCATCCTTATTATGTATTGATTTTAACAATACTGTTTTAGTTTCACTCATAATCATTATTTCCTTCACTGGTCATGGCATTGCAGAGTTAACTTTTTTCCTGGTGGTAAAACCCCAGATTTCTGTGGGTTTGAGCTGCATTCCTGCAGGTGCCCAATGGTTTTATTGATAATTCCAAACCAAATTCCTCTGGTTTCATATCTGCATTATTGTTAACTCACTTGTTGAATTGGGTTGTAAAAGAGCCCAGTCAAGAGTAGATTTATCTTTTGAGTCAGAATCCAAGATTTTATACCACAGGAAGCAGCTGCAGCAGGTTCCTTTAAAGAGCTCCCGATGCCTGTGGTAACCTCCACACACAAAGCACAATTCCCTTTCATTTTAAACCTATTTCTTGACACAAATAGTTTTGATATAAAACTCTCAAATCAGGGTCTTCCTGCTGCTTTTCATCATTGTCCCTTCCTGCTGTAATTTGGGGAATCTGCTATTTTCATAGCTGCCCTTTTATTTCGTTTTTTTTTGGCGTTGGGCTTGAGATTTTAACTCCATTTCCAACTTTTATAATTTTCACTCAGAGGTTTAAATCTCCCAGGAAGCTATTCCATACTCGATTTCAGGGTTTGGCTGATAGGTTTGGGTGATCTTCGAGGGGAAGCTCCAGCTGCCAGTTCCCTAAACCCCTGGAATAATTGGAAATAGAAATGGTTGGGAATGATACATTAACTCTGAGCATTAGGCACTAAGCATGCTTGCTGGCTACTTTGATCAAGCTCTTTTTTCCTGACAAAACCCCCTTTGAAATGAATAAGACAGAGGTTCCTTTCACTTCAATCAGAGTTCTCAGACACAGGGAGAAAGAAGGACTTCATAACCTTTAAAAAGACTCCCCTCGTCCATTCATGGATCTCCTGGAAAGCTCAGCACTTTCCCTTGTGCTGGAGTTACTAAGCCAGCTCCTGGATACTTTCAGGCTTCCTTCTAGTGAGGATTTGCTTAAACATGAGATCAAACCCCTCTGTAAAGAGCTGGAATCTGGGATTTACAACAGCAGGAGCAGCGACACCGGGAATATTTGGTGATGTGGATTGTCCATCGCTTTCCTACTCGCACCTTCTGAGCCTGGCACGTTGCAGAAGATGATTCTTTGTACACTTCATATTTTGATTATTTGTGTGTATTTTCAGTCAAGCCATCAGCACCCTAAAAATTCCAGTTCTCTTTTAACACCTTGAATGAAGGTTTTGGATACCCAGGACCATGCCTTGGCAGGGGATATTATCACTTCTGGAATCTCTGCTTCTGCACTCTGAGCTTTTTTTTTTAACTACTTTTTGTATTTAGAAGGTAACAACAGGGTAAAGAAGCAGTACATGCTCCTCTGCTGGATTGTGTTGCAATAATGTGCACTGAGATAATTATCCATAAATGATGCTCCTGTTTAGAGATTAATGCAGTGAGATAAGGAGTATTAGGGAAAAAAAACCCCACCGAACCAACAAATAAACAGGATAAATCTGCAAAAAAGACCTCCAGAAATATCCCAGGCTTTAGGCAGCTATGGTGAGAACAAGGATTCCTTGTGTTAAATGTCACTATGGAGAAGCAGAACCAAAAGCAAGGACATGATAAAGCCCCGAGCCTATACAGCTCTGACATTTCCACTGATCTATATGTTTAAATAAAATTTGAGGATTTTTAGTCAATCCAGTGTTCAAATGTGCATATTCAATTCCACTATCTCTATGAAGATGAGTCAGAATTCAGCTATTGAACAAATAATTTTGTTTGAGACATTGTTTCATTGATTTGTGCATGAAAAGTAAATCATTTTAACTACAGGTAAGTTACAGCTCATAATTTTTTTACAGCTACAACTCTTCAGAAAACCTATAATATTTTACAAGAGGAAGAGATCAGATTATGTGCTTAAAAGATGGATGGTTCTGGCTTAAAGCTAAACTAATGTAAGCTGAAACTTTAGTTCTGCCCATGTTCAGCTCTGTGCAATGTCTTCTTTGACTACATAAAAAACCTCTTCTGTATCCTACAGGGCATCATTTAAAAAAAAAATTGTGTTGCTTGTAGAAATAAAATAATGGGATGAGTTTAGGACTAAGAGCCACCTGGAGGGTAAATATGTTTCATTTTTGTACTTTTTTTTATTTAAGCAGTGAAAAAGAGCAGAACATGCACACAAAGGAAAAAGGTTGTTATTATCTATTGTTCAGCTGTGCTCACTGAAAGGGGGAAAAAGTCTTCCAGCAGCGTGTAAAATGCCTGTTTGTCGCAGAAGCAGAAAGAGGAAAGTCGTGGTGTCTTTTATCTGCTGGAGGAAGAACTTGAGGAGGAACTGCGTGTTCCTCTCACAGGGATGTCACCTGTGCAGCTGGGCCTCAGCACTCCCAGGTGATGGCATCCAGGTGGAAAATGCAGCTCATGCAGGACGGTGTCACAATCACCCTGTGAAATGCCAACCCTCTGCTGCTGCCAATTCCTGAAGCGCTTTAGGGGCACCAAACACGTTTGGGGTGTGGGAAGTTTGGCTGCTTGTAAAAGGGTGCTGAATTATAAATTCTAAGATTATCCATACAAATTTTAAATATTTACCTGTTAATTCGAATCTGAGGCAAGGATTGTCTATCTTATGAAATAAAAATACTCTAAGGGAATTATAAATAAGTCCAGTCTATCACAGTTTCGTTCTCTGTCCCTTTCCTCATATTTTTAAAGCTTCATTTGCTCACATGACTGAACACTTACCTGATGCTTTTATAGCATAATATAATTTCCAGATCTCTTTCCAAAGCTAATTTGGGTCTGTGGCTAATGAACACAATGTTCCTGCTGCTTCTTTTTCCCTCCTGTGTATTCCTGTGCTTGCTTCATCTTCCTTCTCTCTCTAGCTGACACAATTCTTTACTCTTCATTTTGTAAATCATGTGCTTGTCACGAACAGCAGTTGTATTTTCTATACAAAACCACGTAAATAAAAAACACAAGTAACTAAAAATAAAAGGCAATTCAGAGACTAGACCTAATTTTTCCTAATTAAAAAAAATTGGAATTATGTACAGTTGGCACAGTGATCCAAACAGTGAAGTTTGGAGTAAAAGTTTCAGTTTGTCTCAGAAGCTGCCACTGACAACTCCTGTGAGAGCTCTAAGGTGGAGGCGAGAGAAGCAGCTGCTTGGTCTCAGGGTGTCAAAATAAAATGGAAATGAGGAGATATTTGAGGTACTAAGGGTATTTGATGAAGGGTTTTGCAGAATAATGTCAACCTGTGCAGGAAGCTCTGGATGGGCAGAAGACTGAGGCTCAGTCCAGGTGATAATTTGGGATTACTAAATTCCAAGTTGCAGAACATTGTTCGTGATGGAAAGCATGATGAAGGAGTTTAGTAAACTCCTAAAACATGAGGAGTTCCACCTCATCATGAGGAAGAATTTTCCAGGAGGGTGGCAGACTACAGGAACAGGTTCCCAGGGAGAGTGTGGAGTCTCCAGAGTCATTCCAAACCCACCTGCTTTAAGTGACCCTGGTAGCACTGGATGGTCTCCAGAGGTCCCTTCCAACCCTAAATATTCTGTGATATAAAATAAAATAAAATAAAATAAAATAAAATAAAATAAAATAAAATAAAATAAAATAAAATAAAATAAAATAAAACTGTGCAGGAACAACTTTGTTTCTGACATGTTGGTTTGTGTCAGCCCTCCTGATGTTTTCATGGCTGGAACACTTTAAGCCCACAATGACCAACACGCTGAGGAGACAAACCCGCTGGTCTGTCCACAGAGTGGGGACACTGTGGGGACACTGTGGGGAGACATTATCAGGAGACAGTGGGGGACACTGGGGGCAGAGTGGGGACACTGTGGGGACATGGTGGGGAGATATTTCAGACACTGCAGGGTACTGTGAAAACACAGCGGGAACATTGTGGAGAACACGGTGTGGATGCTGTAGAGGAAACGGTGGGGACACTGTGGGGGACAAGGCAGGAACAATGTGGGACACTGTGGGGACTTTGTGGGGACACTGTGAGGAGACAGTGGGGACCCAGCCGGGACACTATGGGGATCATAGTGGGGAAACATTGGGAAGACACTATGGGGACAATATAGGGACACTGTGGAGACACCCTGGGGGCACGGCAGGGAGACAGCAGGGGCACTGCGGGGACACAGCGGAGGCACTAAGGGGACATTGTAGGCACACTGCTGGGGCATTGTAGGGACGCTGTGGGCACACAGCGGGCACAACACTGCAGGGACACTGTGGGGACACTTTGGGCACCCGGCAGGGACACTGTGGGCTCACTGTGGGCTCACTCCGACCGCTCGGCGCGCTCCGCTCCCGCCACCCCCCTCAGGCTCCCTGAGGCTCCCTCAGCCTCCCGCCCTCGGCTGCGCGCGCAGCGCCGCTCCCGCCGCGCGGGCTGCCGGGAGGGCCGAGCGGCTGTGGTTAATGTCCGCCATGTTTGCCATGGCGCAGGGAGCGGACCGAGCGAGCCCGGCGCGGATCTAGGGCTGCGGGGCGTGCGCTGCGGGCTACGGGCGGCCCCGCCGGGAACTGCGCCGGGGCGGCGGGACCCTCCATGGTGGCGCGGGCGCGGCGCGGGAGCGGCTGGGAGGCGGCGGCGAGGCCG